CGGAGGCTCAGAGAGGCAACCCGTAGACCTGGATCACTCAGCCTGGGGTAGAGCCAGATTGGGAACCCTAGTCCCTTGAGTATCAAAGCGCCACTATTTCCACCACATCCTACTGGTATAAGAGCTCGGAGGCCAGAGCAGGCTCCTGGTTATAACTAACGGTCAATATGTGGTCCACATAAGCCAGAGATGGAAGTAGAGGCAGGGCCTCATAGTGGCTATGGGTGGGGCCCTGAGTACCAACCAGGGCTCTGCCATTGATTTGAGCTGGGTGACCTTGAACAAATTCCAAGCCCTCTCCACACCACAGCTTCCTCCTCTATAAAATAGGAATAATAATAGTAACCACCTCAGAGGGGCGTTGACCGGGGGGAAATAATACGCAGATGGAGCCTGGCACAGTATCCACACATGGCAAATGCTCCTAACCGATGGCTATTATTTTATTATTGCTGTCACGCAGAATGGCAGATGCTTTTAAAGGAGGGATCTCCAAGGCTTTAGGAAGCCCTTGGGGCAGGTGGAAAGGCCTGGGGCCAATCTGCTTTCTGCCCCCCAAAAAGCACCAGCTTGGGGTTTGGGCCCCATCCTCAGAGGCTTGATCCTAAGCCTCATGGGTCCTTAATTGCTAAGTGGGGAAAATAACAGTGGGTGTGTGGACTTAGTATGGTTCCTGCATATAGTAAGGGCTCAATAAAGGGCAGCCGATAGCTTTCTGATCCGTGAATGAGTTTCCTAGGATGGCTGTTCCCATCTGGAGCCACCAGGCCTAGGAAACCAAAGGAGGCTTGAAGACCTAGAAGGGCAGATGCCTCTGGGGCCTAGTAGGGAGATGACAGACCCTGGGGAACATTGGCCCAAGTGTGCCTATTTCCCAGCTGGAGCAATCAAGACCCCAAGCAAGCGAGCGGGGCTCCGCACCTGCAGGAGTACATGTGGTTCTTTCTCACGCTCCTCCGGAAGAAGCCCTTGCAGCCATCACAGCTTGAGGCGCCGTAGTGTTTGCCTGTGGCCCGGTCTCCACAGATGGCGCACAGGGCGCTGACGCCAAGGTTGTTGGTCGCGTTGAGGTTAGCACCTTCTGATGGGGATGTGTCTGCGCGAGAAGAAAAAAGGAGGACTCAGAAGAGCAGAAAGTCACCTCCTGGAGGCCCTGTTTTTCTGGAGGTTTAAATTTACAAACCAATATGAATGTTGTGGGGAGCTCCCCAGGGCTTCAGTCTCAGCCAGAATGCCATGCTGTCCCCACTCCCTCAGTGACCTTGGGCAAGCCCCTTGGCCTTTTGGAACCCCTGTTTGGCATCTCTAACGTAGGTATCATTTTGACAGTGACTTCACAGAGTTGTTTGTGAGTGTCTGCTCCCCTCATGATGGAGACTGCTAGCCCAGCTTTCTCTGGGAAGTAATGAAAACTTGGCCACACCCTAGGATGCTTCCAGGCCTTAAAGACCCTGATTGACTGGGCACAGAGGGCTGTGAAAGGGACAAATATTGCAGTGTCTGCCCAGAATCAGGTCTTGCCATTTATTTCTTATTGAGTGACCATGGCTGAGTGGGTCTCAGCTTAGTGCCCAGGGGCCCTGACAAGCCTCCTGGGAAATGAGAAGACATGCACCAAGGACTGTGGCTCATTTGCCCTCCTGGGAGGGTCATGACAAGGAAATGTGCACCCCTCAAATACCTCTTGTCCCAGAGGCAGAAGTTACGGCATCGACATAAAGGTGAGGAGGGGTAAAAGAGGCAGGTGACATAGATCTTGGATTGGATGCTGGGGGTCTCTGGTGCTAGTACTGATGCTGCCACTAATTTGCCTGTGACCTTGGGCACGTTTGTTTCCTTGCTTCAATTTCCCCGGGGCCTCAGTTTCCCTAAATGTAAACAGGGCAGTTCTACTGTTCTAGTGGTTTTCAATTATTTTTTAAAAATTCAGTAGCCGAACCCTCTTTTTATAAGCAAATCTTCCACCAAGGATAGACCTCTTGGAAGATGATAAACACTAGGTCCCATCTCCCCTGAAGAATGCACGCATGTGCACAGCACACACAGTCGTCACACACTGTTCCCATAGAACCCTGAGGCCGGCCTGGAATTCCTAGGGAACAGCCAGATAAGCACTGGAGAGGGGCATGGCGCTGCGGTCAGACCACAAAGCCTGGAGCCCTTTGCCCAGTGAGAATCCCAGCTTGCCCACCTCTTGTTGGTAGCCCTGCGACCTTGGCTGAATTAATTAACTTCTCGCCTTCCTTTCCTCACTTGTAAAATAGGAGGAAGATGCCCTAGGGCTGCTGTGTGTTGTGGTGATCCAGCCAAGTGTGTGTCACAGAACAAGCATGAGATCAGCATTTGTGAAAGAACTTTTCTGCAGAAGAAGACTCTCAGAGCACAAGACTTCCCGCCTCCCTGTGCGAGCAGACTCCGCTGCATTTCACCCTGCCGTCACCTGGCTGAACATCTCCTAGTCTCCCGAGGGTGCCCAAGAGTGCGGCCCCCTCCGCTTGGTGAATTATTCCTGGAGATGGGGATAATTGTTAAGCCGTGCTGGTGCCCTTTCTCCCTCAGCCTCGCCTCCCCAGACCCCTGGGAAGAGCTGACCCCACAATTTCTGGCCATTCAGGAGGAGGCTGGGGGAAGGGGTGCCCACATCCTGGGCAGGATGGGCTGGGTGTTGCCAAGTATATCATCTCATCCCTGGAGTCAGCCCCATTCTCCAAGTGAGAACACCAAGGCCCAGAGAGGACAAGTGGCTTGCCCAGGGTCATCATACTGCTGGGAAGTAGAGGAGCCAAATATATGGCCCAGGGGTGCTGGGTGATTCTGGCCATTGCTGCCCTTGTTGGGGTGTCCACTGGGGTCTCTGCAGCAAGGAACCCCTGTTGCTTTTGGTTCTGAATCTGAGATGGGGACAGATGGGAAGCTATCCTTGGAGCCTTTGAGCTACAGCCCAGGATATATGCCAAACATAACCCCAACTCTCAGACCACTCTCTCCAGTAAAGAATGTAAACCTTTTTTATAGGCCAGCCGTGGGCAAACTACGGCCTGCGGGCCGGATCCAGCCCGTTTGAAATGAATAAAACTAAAAAAAACAAAGACCGTACCCTTTTATGTAATGATGTTTACTTTGAATTTATATTAGTTCACACAAACACTCCATCCATGTTTTTGTTCCGGCCCTCCGGTCCAGTTTAAGAACCCATTGTGGCCTTTGAGTCAAAAAGTTTGCCCACTCCTGTTATAGGCGTTCAGAGTTCCTGAGAGGACTCAGGTGGGGCCAGGACCAGTTACCAGTGCTAAGATATCAAGTACCTTACCTTATTTCATTCTCTGGTAAGCCCTGGGGTGGGTGCTATTATTTATTCCCATTTTACAGATGAAGAAACTGAGGTTGCAACACGAAAGAATCTATGCCAGAATTTGAGCCCTAATCTTTCTGGCTCCAGGGCAGGAGGCTGCCTGTCTTCAGGTCACCCAATCAAGGGGCTTGGCTCTGCCTCGGGAGCACAGGATTCCTGGGAGCTGGAGGCATGCGCTCTGCAAGGTAGATGGCACCAACCCCAGGGAGCAGCTTGGGGCTGGGTTGTGGCCAGGAGTGTGACAGCACACATTGTCCTTGTGGGGTCACATGGCACCCACCTAGGGCAGCAGCTCCTTAGTTTACCATTTCCTGCATGTTTGTCCCTCAGTTCCTCACGTGACCCTTGGATACTCCTAAAAGCTGGCCAGCAAGCAGACTTGGGGTGATTAAGCTCATTTCGTAGAAGAGACCAGGAGAGGAGGGGTGACATGCAGGTCATACAGTAAGTGGATGGCAGAGACAGGTGAGCAGTTGGTGAGACTGACTATGGACAGTGCCCACTGACCACAGGAAGAGCAGTCACCTTTTTCCAGCTGAGCCAAACTGACCACAAGCCTTAGAGGCCTGGGCTGAAGCCACAGAGCCGGGGCAGGAAGGCAGGTGGCAGGCTGGCCTCGGCTGGCTGCCACCCACTTCTCCACTGAGGCTGAATTGCCACCAGTTAGGGACCTTTCTCTCCAGAAACTTCCTGGCTTTCAAGTCCCTTTCTTCCCCCAACCTCCTTGTGAAGGAGAACACCCCCCCCCCGCCCCCACCACCCCAGATGGCTCTCAGTGATTATAAACCTGGAGAGACACATACAAGCAATAAGATCTGCTCAAAGACAAATGGGCATGTTGCTGATGAGAATCTCATTTGGTGAATGGCAACATCAAAGTCCTGCACATCATGTCTGCATAATCGTGCCCACCGAACAGCACCGGCCCGCAGGGCAAGGATGTGCACATATACACCAGCAGGTACACACAGGGCACGAGTCAGAATGCCCATGCAGGAAACATAGGGCACACAAACAAATCCACATCCATGGTACATGTGTGCAAACATCCACAGTCACATGTACACACTCACCGCCACTTCCGTACATAAGACAAACACAGGCACCTTTAGAAACACCAACCAACACAAACCCACTCAATGTACAAACACAAATGAAAATGGACACAGAACAGGTGCACACAGACAAATGTGCACAAAGATGCAAATGGTTTCTGTGGGCACACAGTTACCAACCCAGTATATCACCTCCCACCCACTTACAGGGGAACTCCTGCGTGCGCACCACACCAAGAAGAGGCCATGATCACACACACAGACACACACACACACACACACACACACACACACACACACATTTACTAACTGGTGTCTCATTTAGCAAAACTTCCCTGAGAACTCCATTTTCCCTAAGTGGGGCATTCACCCCAGGCAAGTCTCAAAGACACCCTGAAACACTGAGTGCCTCCATCTACCATCTCCAGGACTGGACATGCCTTTCCATCTCCCTGGACTTAGGCCCATGGGATTCAGGAAGGGGCCATGTTGGACCCAATTACTAGCGATGAACGGGAAGAAGGAGCTCACCGTCACGTCCCTGCTCCCAGTGCCGCGCTGAGCAGGATGGCTTTGAGGTACGAGGGGCTGGAAGGGCCTGACAGGGATTCCTGGGGCTACTTTTGCTGGGAATATGCTCGTGCAGGCCTCCCCTGGCCCAGAATGCCTCTGGTCACTGTGCCTGGGCACATTTCCTTTACCTGGCCTATCAGACCAACCTGGCCATCGTCTATCATTCTCCTCCCAACCCAAAACTGGGTGCCGGAGACCTGCTCCCACACCTGGGCATACCTGCCCCCAACTGGCATTCCTAGGCACACGTGCCTCCACCTACCATTGCCCATCGTCAACACCTGCACATTCTCAAATTCCAGGGTGGTGTAGGCTGGGTCCAGCGCAGCACTGTAGTCGGCCATGTCCATGTCGACCAGGGTTTTGGAGAGGCGCATCCTCCCCCTCCACTCCTCAGTCACTTGCCCTGCCCAGGATGCCCACCCGGAAGGCTCCAGGCCGAGCCGGCCCCCGCCCTTCACCCTCCCCCTGCCTCCTCCCAGGTGCACTCTCTGCCTTCCTGCCTTTCAAACTGTCCTCTGGGAGGATCTCCCGGAGTCTGGGCCTAGCCTCCCAGAAGGGGTGGAGGCTCTGCCAGGGAGGGGTGGGGGTTAATGGTTAATCGGCTCCCCCACTGGTGGATAGTCTGGGCGGGGCTGCAGGGATTTGGCTGTTTGTTGGTTTCTGCCTGACACCAGGGGTGCTACTACAACTGGTGGGGCCTTACTCACCAATATTCAGTTATTGATTCTGCAAGATGGAGAGGCTAACTCATCAGCACTCATCTGACCCCCTGACTCAGCCACCCTCCGAGTCATTGTCACTCCAAGTCAGGCATTCTAGCTGATATGCTGGGACGCTGAGAGCTACCACCAAGGTGCCCTAATTCAATGACTTCCCAAATCATTGACTTTTACCCTTAATGCTCTTACAGATAAGCTGCCTCGTGGCTCATGAATTAAAAACCCAAATCCCAGGCCCGACACCAATCTTCTGGATCCTCGTCCTGGGAGCTTCCTTCCCATTTCCTACTTCCTTTAGGGGCAGAATGGATAGGCAGTTTGGTAGGGCCAGACTCACCTCTGGTTCCACTCCCCTGCTCCCCAGTACCCCACTCTGGCCACCATAGCTCCACAGCGCCCAGCTGCTCAGGCCCAGACCACCTCCATCTCCCATTTCCCTGTCACAGCCTTCTGGTTCCCTCCCTCCCTCGCCCCAGAATAGGCAGAGACAAGGCTTGCAGCCCCACAGGCCCGAGTTTACAGTCAGACACCTACCACCTACTAATTGTGACCTTGGGCAAATTATTTTGGGTGAAATGCATTTTACAGAGGAGGAAACTGAGGCTCAATCAAGCGCCAGGGTGGTCTGAGTGTTAAGTGAGATGGGCATTAATAAAGCATCAAACAGTGCCTAGCAAGTGTCCTTCCCTTCTGCTCCCTGACACCCCTTCTTGTCTCCCTCGTTCCTCTCCACCCATCTCCTGCCTTTGGAGTGAGCATTGTGGGAATGTCACCTGAGCAACTGCACCCTGGGGTCTTGGGCTTCGTTTAATGCTCTGCTGTTGCTGAAATTCTTAATAATTTCTGAACATAGGGCCCTGCCTTTTCATTTTGGACTGGACCCTGGACATGGTGCAGCTGGTCCTGTCTGCCTTCAGCTCATGGCTCATCCATTTCCCCTCATACCTCCAGTCCTCATTGCCCTCTCCACAGACACTTCCATGAGCTCCCAGTCTAGCTGGAGAGGTAAGGTTGCAAAGTGAAAGGTAGAAATCACGGGGCAGAGGTAGAAGGATCGAGGCTTGGTGGCCTGGGAGCCTGTCCTCTTTCAGCTGAAAGGACTAAGGTGGCAGGGTTTGTTAAAACAGTAAGCAAGAGTAGGTGAATTCGTGAGAGAGACAATTAGTGAGAGTGGGTGAATTAGTGAGAGAGACAATTAGTGAGAGTGGTGAATTGGTGAGTGAAGTAATGAGTGGGTGGGTGAATGAGTGAATTTGCCCAGCCAGTGTGGCTCAGTGGTTGAGCATCTTCCCATGAACCAGGAGGTCATGGTTCCATTTCAAGTCAGGGCAGGTGCCTGGGTTTCAGGATCAATCCCCAGTAGGGGCCATGCAGGAGGCAGCTACCAATGATTCTCTTTCATCATTGATATTTCTATCTCTCTTTTCCTCTCTCTGAAATCAATAAAAAGAAAAAAAAAAGAGTGAGTGATTACAGACAGGGTGAATTGATGTGTGAATGAGTAAATTAATGAGTGGGTAAATTAGTGAACTAATGAGTAAATGAGTAAATAGATGGATGAATTAATGCGTAGGCAAATCAGTGGGAGAGGCAGTGTATGTTTGAGGGGGGTGTGGAGGCACCCTCTTCATATTCTTTCAATTATTAAAAGCCTTCTCTCTGCCCTGCATAGCTTTGTTCTCCCAGAGCTGAGATAACTGGGGTGGGAGGTGGGGAGAGCAATTGTTCAGAAGGAGAAGAGAGGCTGGATTTGTGGTCGAGAGACCTGAGTTTAGGAATTAGCTCTGTCACCATTCAGATAACTTGTTTAAATCACATCTCTCTCAAGGTCTCAATTTCCCTCTCTGTAGAATGGGGAGCAGATCCTGGCCCATTTGTTATATCAGGATAAGAACCCAAGGGAGGGAGAGAGAGTGCTCCCCGCCACATCCCACACTTTGAGATTCCATAAGGCCTGAAGAAGAAGATTTCAACTACTGGTGGGTCTGTGTCGTTCCCCCCCCCACACACACACCCCCGCAGGGACATCTGATCCTGACTCCAGTGGCCTTGGGGGCGGTGCTGAGCTGGGCTGGAGACCTGACTAAGGGATAAGCACAAAGGGGAAGGAGGGGCAGCTCTGGGGGGGTGTCTCCAAGGGCTGACTCCAGGTCCTGCCACCTGTCTGGCACCTGTGACAAGACACACACAGCTACTCCTTTCATAATCTAGCAATACATGCTACACATAGAGGAACATTCCAGTCTTTCCAACTTGCCAGGCACGATGGCTCCCGCAAAGAAGGGTGGCGAGAAGAAGAAGGGCCGCTCCGCCATCAACGAGGTGGTGAGCAGGGAGTACACTATCAACGTCCACAAGCGCATCCATCGCGTGGGGTTCAAGAGGCGTGCCCCTTGGGCACTCAAGGAGACCTGGAAATTTGCCATGAAGGAGACGGGGACTCCAGATGTGTGCATTGAGGCCAGGCTGAACAAAGCTGTCTGGGCCAAAGGAATAAGGAATGCCCCATCTCGTATCCGGGTACGTTTGTCCAGAAAATGCAATGAGGATGAATACCTTGGTTGCCAGTGTGACCAGTGGGTCAAGAGTCAGCTGTGTACCTTGGTCACTTATGTACCTGTCACCACTTTCAAAAATCTACAGTTAATGTGGATGACAACTAACTGCTGTTTGTTGAATAAGTTATGAAACTGTCACACACACAAAAAAGAGGTACGTTCCACATTTCCAAAAGCGGACTGTGATTGCTGGCATGTCAGAGTTTAATTGGTAACAAATATAACAATCTTTCACTCTCTATAGATGACTTCTTAGATTGAATCCAATAAGGTCTATGATCAACTAGGGTGAGCCATGTCATGCCACTTACATGACCGGTTGCATACAAGAACGACCAGGTAGACAGCCTGCACATGACAAGCAGCTAAGTATACAAACCATGACATACACACTCTACCAAATGTACAACATATGACCTACTGTCTATGAGGTACATTCCTAAAACCTATTTCATACCCCAGACATATCCTACCCATCACAACGTACCCAAAAAGTAAATCTACCCACTCCTGAACTATATAACTTACATAACCTATTACATACATGATTTACCCCACCCTTAGCTGATGCCAAACAATGTATTCTAGATACTTGTTCCTCATCTAAACAACCCGCCACCTATAAGATCTACTGGCTCTGTGGTCTCAGGCAAGTTATTATTTTGAAGCCTTGGTTTCTCCTTCTGTAAAATGGGCCTCATTTGTAGTTTCCTGTGACAATTAAATGAGACACTACTATAAGGTTGTTCATCCCACCTCCAGGCCCCATCCAAACCCCAACCCATAGAATCAACCACAGATCTTGAAATCAGAAAGACCTGGGTCAACATCCAGGCACTGCCAGCTTCCCAAACTTTGTGACCGCAGGTTCCACCTCACTCAGCCTTAGTCTGGCATTAAATAAATGGGTTGACATGTTCTTCACAGTGACAGTTGGGCTGTAATGGCCAAGTGTAGGCATATAGTGCAACAGTAGCAATTGCTGTCATTGGTGGTTGACTCTTGACCCACTCGTCACATAATCAGGACCCTTGCACAGAAGAGCTCCTAGCGATGGCATGCCCAGCCCTAAATAAACCCTGGCCTCCACACCATCAACTCAGCAGCCCTTCTTTTATTAAAATTTTTATAAGAGCTTATTTGAGCCAAACTACTGACCTATGCCAGGGATCAAGATCTCAAATGCTCCTCAGCAGCCCTCTTTACCTCTGCCCCGCCCCCTTGGGCCATCAGACCCCCGCTCAACATGCAACATCTCCCCAGGAATAAATAGCAAAGGCCCTCAGAGCTCACCCAGAGGACAGCTCCATGTTGCAGATGGAGAAACTAAGGCCTCGGGAAGGAAAGGAGGGGTGGCTTTTGGTGTTGCCCTGGGTAGCCGGGTGTTGGGGAAGGATTGTTGAGACCCAGCTGTGGGCAGGGTGCTCAGGCATCTGGTGTGGCCAGTGGCTAAGGGAGCTGCCACTGTGAGCCACGTATTTTTCTTTTAAATTATAATAATGGCTAATGTTTCCAGAGAGTCTGTGCTAGACCCAGAGCTGAGAACTTTTCCCTGTTCTCCCTTTACAGATGACAAAACAGAGACGCTGAGAGGTGATGTGACTTGCCTAAGGCCATACAGGTCATGACAAGAGGGGACGTGATCTGAGCTCTAGGATGACTCCGGAGCTGAGGGCTTCAACCCCTACAGGCTGCTTCTGTCCTGGGGCCCCACAAAATAACCTCAGAATTCTGGTGCACTGGGCTGGCGGGTCCACTGTCCGGGTCCTGCCAGGAGCCCAGAGACCTGAGAAGCGAAGGAGCCTGTCCCCGGCATGTGCAGGTTCAGGGGCATCCTCCAGAGCCCGGCTCCCCGGGCCGCCTGGCACCTTTGCGTCCCCTGGGTACTCACCACCTGCTATCTCCTGTTTCTTCTCCCCGCCCACCGCTGTGGTGCGGGAACTGGGGACTTATCAAGACAAAGAACAAAAGTCGTGGGGGAAAGAAGCCAAGAGCCATCTCTACTCCGGGGTAGGGCCCTTCAGTTTTGCCCCTTTGAAATTTCAAATTCCAGTTTGTGGACAAAGTCCTAAGTTTCTCACAATATAGGTCCCCAACCACTGACCAAACTCCAGTCCAGGCAGCCAGCAGGCCCAGGGCTGCTTCCTTTGGCAGTTCCCAAGGTCTGGGAGGAAGAGGTCCTGCCCCAGGGGGTCTGTCAGGCCATTCCTGCAGCTCCATCCCACCCCACAGGGACCCTTGCCTCGCACCTGAGAGGAGCCCTCTTCCTGGAGCTGGGATCTGATGCTTGTTGGCACCGACAGCAGATACCAGGTAGGCACCTTCCTGTTCTGGGCATCTTTTCTGTCCCCTAGACTCCTAAAACACTGCTCATACCATCCTCCTCCCCCCGGGGTACAGGCCACGTGGACTTAATCTAATTATGACCTCGCAGAAGTTCGGGACATTTGGTGGATGAGGACACTGAGCCCCAGGGGAGTGGTTGCAGGTTGAGCTACAGACCCGGCCACTCGCTAAGCCCCACAGGGTGGAAGAAACATACTCAAGGCCACGCAGCGGTAGTGGGGGAGCTTTGCCTTAACAAGACGACCACAAGCTCTGGGAGGACCCCTTTTATCCATCACAGCCCTCGAGGGGCTACCGCTTGCAGACCCGGGATGGCGGTGTGTGTTCACTCAGTGACGGATGGCCACTAGGCTGCCATGAGAGGAAGATGAGGGAGCTTGGGGCTGAAGGCCAGTGGGTTTGGAAGGAAACAACATTCATGTGGTTAACTGATAACTGAGCCCCATCCTTGGGCCTCCAGGAGCCTCCTTCCTCCCTGTCCTCAGCACAATTAAGACGAACTTACCTGCCTGCTAATCATTGCTGAGCCTGTTGATTTTGCCTTAAAAAATTAACTGGGCATGAGTTTGCGGTTTGCTTCACCCCTAACCCTGAAAAGATCTGGGTGGGCAGGAGGCCGCCCAGGTTATGCAAGAGGCCACTGGCCTCCCCACGCACATCCTCTGCCTGCCCTCCAAAGGGGAGGTTTTGCTTAAGAGTCAACAGTTTGCTTGTTCCCCCTGTTCTGGGTCCTGAGCAAATTTGCTCTGTTACCAAAGAGAGATAAAGGCAGCTGGGGGGAAGCTTTCCATGTGAAGCGGCAGCTTTTGAGCTTGGGATTCGAGAATCCTGCAGTGTCAGAGCCAGGAGAGCCTGTAGGAGGAGGTGGCCTGGGGCCTTTCAAAGTGGGTTCTGAGGTTCCCAGGAGCTAAGGGAGTGTGTGCACAGGTCCTGCTTCACCCAGTGCCTGCCTCTCAGGTGTGCTGGTCCTCAATAATTCATTTGAAAGGTTGAGCCAGGTATGGATAACAAGAACTGGAAGACTGCTGGTCTAGACTCATCCCCTCAGTCACTGTGCAGATGGGGAGCTGGAGGCCAGAGGGTGGAAGCAACAGGTCACCCTGGGTAGGATAGGGAAGACAGGGGCTCTCTCTGGGACTCAGTGATGTATTCTGGATATTAGTGAACAAATGGCACTTAAACACCCTCTTCCACCATTCTCCCCTCCCTCCCGGGGCTGGCTGGGGTCAGAGTGGCGCCTGAGAGCAAAGTGGCGCCCTTGTGCCACTTACCAAGCCAAGTGCCCATGGGGATTTGCCTGCCCAGAGGGCACCTTTTATTATTTCCACAAAGGCTCCATGTCAGCCCTGCCCCGGCTCTGTTTCCAGCCACTATGTGACCTTGGGCAACCTGGCGCCTTAGGCAGAAGGCCTAAATCAGGGAACTCACCTGGCTTTGTGTCCTGTGAGTCCTCAAGGAACAGCCATGAGCTGAAACCAGGGGCTCCAAGTTCTAACTCATTTAGCCACGTCCTCTCTCTGCAGGCATCAGGCCATAGAGAAAGATGCAGAGCCCTACGCTGACAATCCCTCTGTGCCTCCATTTTCTCACCTGTAGATTGGGAATAACAATCCCTAACTCCTTGGGTTGTTGTGAGGATAAAATGGACTGAGACGTAGGCAATGATAATCATGCCAATGTTCATAAAGCTTTTTTGGGGGGGGTGGGGGGAGGCTCATTAATCTTCATAGCCACTCTGTGAGGTAGGAAATGTTTTTATCACCCAGACCTGAGGCACAGAAAGGTTGAGTCATATGCCAACCTCTTACCGCTTATAAGAAACAAGAGCTGGAGTTCCAACCCGAACAGTCTGGCTCCAGAGTCTGTGTTCCTAGCTCCAAGGCCACCCTACCCTCCGGGGCTGGTACACAGTAGGTGCTCAATGACAAGTGTCCAGTATGAGGATAAGATAAGCTCCATCCCAAGACACAGGTGGGCTTTATGCATGGCATGGGCTTTGAGGGCTGGAAGGCGGGAGAAGAAAGACAAGTCTCTATGCTGGAGTGGTTGGGGATGGATTCCTGGAGAAGGAGGCATACTGGGCAGAGAAAATGACTAGAAGTGGAGAACACAGTAGGTGATGGGGGCGGGCACGGAAGCTGCTGTGGCCAGAGAGCAGGGCATTGTGGGAGACACAGGGTAGAGAATGTGGTCTGGAAAATGATCAGGAAGGAAGCCAGGAGGACTTGGATCTGTGTGGGCGGGGCCTCCCCACAGGCTGTCTCCTGCCAGGTGGCTTGTGACTTCTGGGCTGAGGCTGTTGCTATCCTGTTTATGTTTCTCTCTCCTGGTTATGATCCTGACTTTATCTGCAGAAGTGACCTTGGGAGTTAGATAGGGCCTGCCCAGCCTCTGTGGGGCCTAAAGGATGATGGGGAGCCCCTGCCTGGCTCAGGCCCTGCTCTCGGGGTGAGGGATGAACCCACATCCCCGAAACTACCCTTGGTCTCCCTGCACCCTTATTCTAAAGGGCTCCAGGAGATGGCTGAAGTGTGGCGTTTGGGAATCCTGAGACTCAGAGCAGGGCCACTGCATATAGGGTACAGGTTGCTCACTGAACGAAGGTTCTCTGGCTAAGGCGGCAAATGGAGGTGGAAATCCAGCCCTTGTGCCACTTACCAAGCCAAGTACCCATGGAGATTTGCCTGCCCAGAGGGAGGGGGGGGACACCTTTTATTATTTTCACAAAGGCTCCGTATCAGCCCTGCCCCGGCTCTGTTTCCAGCCACTATGTGACCTTGGGCAAGGTTATTTCCCTCCCTGGTCTTGGTTTCCCATTTGAAAAGTTGTCTAGCATAAAGCAGAGATGCAACCCTGATAGTGAATTAGAATTGCCTAGGGCCTTTAAAAAATACTGACGTCCAAGCTCCATCACAGACCAATGATCAAATCTTGGTAGTAGGGGTGGGTGGGTTCGAGGTATCAGTATTTGTTTAAGCTTTCAGGTGATTCTGATATGCAGCCAAGATTGAGACCCGCTGTAGAAGGACTTGAAATTTGGAGCAGAAAAGGCCTAGTTGTGCATTCAAGTTCTACAACATACTAGTTGCACCTTCAGTGAGTCTCATTTTGCCCATCTGCAAAGTGGGAATGACAACAGCTTCCTCATAGAGTCAGGATGCCAATCAGTGAGAGGATATTCAGACAGTGCCTGGCACTGTGGCCAGCAAGTGGGAAGCTCCTGATCCAGGCCTTCCAGGAAGCCTGACAGTATCCATGGCCATTATTTTGCTACTGGCAAAATGAGACTGACTGAAAATAAAGGGCACAGGAATTCAGAGACTCGGAGTTAGACTTTCCCTGTTCCTTTAAGCAACTCCTAGTGCATGGGTCTCCATCTTCACTGCACACCTGTCATCCTAATGAGGTACGTGTGATGATGATGATTTGATAGTTTACCTAATTTGTTAACATTTTAAAATTTATTTTTTAATCGGCACTACCTTCGGATGGTCCCCAAATCAAAACAATATAAAAGATGCACTTTGAGAAGTCTTGCTCCCTCCCCTGTGTCCTGTCCACCAGTCCACTCCCCTCTTCACATAGGTAACCCACTTCTCTTACTTTCCTGTGTATCCTCCAAGTTTTCTTGAGGCAGCATATAAGGTCATCTGTCATCATCCATGCCCCTTACACTGTTCTGTACCTTTCTTGCTCATTTAACAGTGGAGCTTGCAGATTTTTCCATAGCATTTGTGAGCAAGCTTTGAGGAAGGGTTCTTGCTCCCTTCACACCTGAGGAAACTGAGGCTCAGACTGCTGAGTCAATGGTGTCTGAGCTCTCTCTGCCCGGCTCCAGAGAAGGTGTTGGTCCCCCTGCCCCACTGTGGGCTTCCAGGAGCCTATACTTCTCCAGGGCAGGCCTGGCAGGGGGTGGTTGTTTGTCCCAATTTTTGACATTGGTTCCTAGCAGCCTTATGTCCTGCCTAATGAATACGGGTGGGAGGGTGGGGGGCTGGGGTTGGACCGTCGGGGCCTCCACTGTGTCTGGGCACCAAAGTCACAGAGGGGCTAAAGCAGGAAAGAGAAATGTTTATAAAGTCATCCAGATGGTAACCCAGTGAGGGGATGGTCCCTGGATGGGACAATTCAGGCCTGGTGGTCGTGGCCTCCAGCAGAGTGGAGCCTCCCGGGAACTCTGCCAGCCTCAGGCTGTGCTGGTGGCAGGGGAGGGCAGTAGCGGGGAGGCAGGGAGGGGAGGAAAGTAGGGCTGATGGAACAGGCCCAGGGCAAAGTAGACGGAGGGGGCCCTATTCCTACAAGTCAAGGAGGGGGATTTGGAATTCAAGGCAGAGGGGACATTTTGAGCAAATGTTTTCTGCTCAGGCTACCCCAGGGCTCCCCCGGGATTCTTGAACTGCTAACTTGAACTCACTAACCCTGGACAAGTCACTTTCTCACTCTGTGCCTCAATTTCCCCAAAGCAAAAATGAAGAAGATTGGGTAGCTGGTCTTTAGTTAGTTTTGAAGCACTCTTAAAAGCTCTGTGAGGCTCTCCTTACCTTGTTGAGGAAATCTGAATGCTGCCTTGATTAGAATGGGGTGAGCCCATCTGGGCCCTGGGCTTTCCTGGGGTGGGGCTAGGAGTACAAGGTCTCTACCCTGCTGCAAATCTGGACTCCTCCCCTTGGTCCTGTGTCCCTCTCCCATCCCCATCCTCCTCTCCAGTTAGATGTGGAGTTGGGACCATACCTGGTGGGTCCCGGGGGAAGCCCTGGCCCCAGTCTGACATCGTCCTCCTGGTGCTATGGGGTCCCACACAGTGGGCAACCGCTTCATCCTTGAGGGAGCTCCCACTGCCACCCTGGCACCCAAGACCCATAAGGGCTGCTGGACAGACTTAATGTCTTAATACTGGTCACAATGAGATTTCAGGGATGGTGGGAGGTGGTCCCATAGAAACTGCAGACCCACCCAGGACCCATGCAAGGAATTAGCCACAGAGTGAGCAAGGGGGTTCTAGAGGCCCAACCCAAACAGGAATGGGAGACAGTGGCCTGGACTCCTGGGTCCTGCCCCAGCCCCTCTGCTGTCCCTCTGGAGAGTGTGTGAGATACACCATACGTCTCAGGCTTCCTCAGTGTTCTCCTGCTACGCCAGACGGAGCCATATTCACAGGGAGGACCCTGTCACCTTTCTGGGCCTTAGTTTCCTCATTCTCCAATTGGGGTGAGAATGCTCAACCCAGAGGCTTTTCTACAAGAGTGCAGGCCTCAGAGCCTGCCAGGCCTGAGTGTGAAGCTAAGCTTTTTCAGCGCAGACTGTAGCCCTAGGCCAGAGACTTCACTTCTCTGACTTTCCATGTCCTCATCCATACAATGGGCACAATCACTGACTGGTGAGTACTGATGCCCAGTGAATGTGAGTCTCCTCACCTCTTTCTGAGCCCCATCTACACTGCACAGCTGCCCCCAGCCCAGCCACTTGCAGTTTTCAAAATCCCACAGCCTGGTCTCTGGCCTTTACACATGCCAGGCCTTCTGCCCAGAGCAGCGGTCACACCTCTTTCTTCAAATTCTCATCCTCTAAGTCCCATCTTAGCCATCTTCCTCCGGGCAGTCCTGCTGGCTTGGGCAGGGCCCACTCCTCCTCGTGCTCCCACAGTCCCCAGTGCTTTACGTCATCGTCATCGGAGTGTAATCCAGTGGTGGTCACTGGTTATTTGTCTGCCTCTTCCTCTTTGACCCTTACATTCCCAGAACCTAACTGGAACTTAATATAATGGGTTCGATGAATAAATGAAGGAAGGAAGGAATTTGTCCATCTAATCTTCCAACATTTATCCAGCCCCTTCCATGTGCACTGTTGTGGATGTTTGAGCAAATAAAGAAACAGGATGCCCAATTAAATTTGAATTTCAAATAAACGATGAATAATTATTTTAGTATAATTATGTACCAAATAACACCGGGGCACTCTTATACTTCAAACTCTTTGTTGTTTATCCTCAAGTTCAAATGTAACTGGGTGTTCTGTATTGGATCTGGCCATCCTATTCCCTCCTCCACAGAGCTCCATTACGGTGGGGAGGCACAGTGGAAATAGTATGCAAGCGATTAAAAAAGAGACGAATTTCAAATGCTGGATGTGATAGCGCCTGGGGACTGTAGGGATTATTTCTGCATAGGGTGGTCTCTGAGCTAGTGGCCTTTATCCTCAAGGGACAGTTCTAAGCTGCAGTGTGATACTACTGTGTAAAAGTCCTTTCAGGATCTTAAAGGGCGCCATGGAGGCTGATAAACTTGAGAGAAGGGCCCAGAAGCAAGCAGAAGGGGCTGCAGAGGGAGAGCAGCTGCTGAGTCTCACCTGACAAGACTCCACAATTTTGTAATTTGGATCTGAGCCTTCACAAACCTTCGCGAACTCGCGGCCCCACCCCTCGGTCAGCCAATGTCCTCTGCGGGGCTGAGAGCCAGAGGAAGGGGCCGTAGAGGCTGTGCAAAGAAGCGTGGCCACGTGTCTCCCAGTTGCCCTGGGACGCCGCGCAAAGCCGAAGGGCGTCCATCAGAAGGCAGCCCAGAGGCACCGCAGCGCCGCGCTTTGAGCGTCTTGGGCTCCTCCTAGTGGCCAACACAAGAACTGGCGCTCAGAAACTTTTAAATAACCACACGAGCTTCACCAATCACAGCGAAAGTTGCATTACAATCCCACCAATCACAGGCCCAGACGGACAACTCTCCCAACTCCGCGGAAGACAGCTCAACACAGCTCACTTGGTTTAGTTAGGATCAAGCTAAATTCCCTCCTGTCACACACCAACACCTGGCCACGGCGCCTATAAGAACGCAAGATTTTAAAACCGGTTTCCCACGGCGGTACCGCGCTGCAGTTCCACCATCTACGAAATTTATATTCCTCACACCCGGTTGCAATGTCCAGGTGCCTTTAAGGAGGGTCCCAGGTTTTGTGCTGGCTCCCTGTGGAATCCCTCGTTTGCATTCAGGGATATTTAATATCTTAATATTTCATATTACTATTATAAAAATTAATGTGTGGGTCCGGAAGACTGGGAAAAGATGATCTTTGGAGTTAGATACAACTAAATTTGAGTCCACTTATTAGTTTTGTAAAGCAGAACAATTCACTTCCCTTCCTTAGCCTTAAAAAGTGAATATTAAGACCGGCCAGTGTGGCTCAGTGGTTGAGCATCGACCTATGAACCAGGAGGTCACGGTTCCATTCCTGGTCATGGCATATGCCTGGGTTTGGGGCCAGATCTCCAGTGTGAGGCGTGCAGGAGGCAGCTGATCGATGATGATTCTCTCTCATCATCAATGTTTCTATCTCTCTCCCTCTCCCTTCCTCTCTGAAATAAATAAAAATACATTTTAAAAAGAGAATATTAATAATAATATCTACATTAATTGTCACATTCCATCACCTCATCCCCTTCTCCATTATTCACGCCCAAGTCCTGGAGTCACTCCTTTGTGTCTTTCCTCCCATCCCTCCCAACACATCAGAAATCCAGTTCTTGCCACCTCTAACGGAATCTCAAATTTTCATCTCCACCACAACACCATCATCTCTCCAGGTCTGTAAAAGCCTGTTCACTTCTCTTTGTCCTCCACTCTGGGTCCCGTACCCATTCTTTACCCAGAGTCCAGGGATGATCTTATAAAACAGATTGGACCAGGTCCCTCTCTTAAACTATTACAGCTTTCTATGCATTTATAACAAAACTCATAAAATCCAAAATGTCCATGGACTGAGGCCTACCTAACCTTGTTTCTGTATCTCTACATATCCAACCCAGTTTCACTTCACTCACCCCTCCCCACACTAGTTTTTCTTTCCTGTCTCAGGGCGTTTGTACATCTCCTCCAACCCCATTAAGGAGATGATTCTTGTCTACTGTATTCCCCAGGGTGCACCCCATATCTTGAACAGTTTAAAATTAAATGCATAATAAGTGCTTAATAGATATTTGTTGGATAAATGACTGAAAAGATTTTTTAGGAGAAACTGATAAAATGTGCATGAAATGCTTGGTGCATACTATGTTTTCAATGAAAAGGATCCTATGCTTATTGGAGAAATTTTGGAAAGTAAAATTAAGAGAGAAGATTAAAAATCATTTGTGCCTTTTCATTTGGAAGACTTCAACTCTTGTTAAGCAGGGTTTCTTGACATTGGCACTACTGACATTTTGGGCTAAATAATTCATTGTTGTAGGGGCTGGACTGTCCTGTGCATTGTAGGATGCTTGGCAGCACCTCTGGCCTCTACCCACAGGATGCCTGTAGCACTCGTCCCCCCTCCACCGCAAGGTATGCCAACCAAAATTATCTCCAGACATTGCCATATGTCCTTTGGAGTTCAAAATAATCCCTGATTGAGAACCACTGTGCTAAGACCTCTAGACTTACAGGAAATTTTCTCCCCCAAATTCAGTCTGTCTCAGTTTTCTGTGTCCATTGGAATCATTTGTGGTCATTATTAAAAATTCAGATGCCTCAGGTCCCACCTCAAGGCTCCAGGGTCAACAGTGGGCCCAGGCATCACATGTTTAATGAGCTTCCAGGTGCTTCCGATGCATGGAGCCCTCAGAACCCACTTTGCAAATGCCTCCAGGAAGCCTCCAGATAATCAGATAACCAAGCACTGGGTGAGGCTCCCTTCTCCCTTGAACTCCCCTCCTCGCCCCCCCCCCCTCACACCCCACA